TGATTACCAAGTTATAAAAGATGCTTCAAGAACTCACAAAATGCCTTATTATCTTGAATAACTATTCAAAACCACAATCACCTTTACCTTTATCACTGGGCACTGGGATCTCTTCACTTGCTATTTGCTCCTCAGATTCAGCAGCTGTGTGAAAGCAAAGTTCTTAATTACAATGCAGTATTTGCATAATTACAGACATTGTTCTTCCGTAGGCTGACAAATAATGTAAATGAATAAAGTGGGCTGCAGGGTAAACCCGGCCCATGGTCGGCTAATAAGCCAGCAAAATGACCCAGTTACCTGTCAAGTTCATAACACATGTTAAACAACGTAACCAGATGTGTCGTTTCTAAAAAGCAACTCATTGTCTTTACCTTCTTCAGTTGGCTTTTTGCGTTCAGGCTTAATTTCTCCTTCTTGACCTGCAGAAGTACGATTGAAAAAGAAATTGTACTTGTTGAATTATGCCCATTTGAATACTTGTAACATTGCAAAGTGAGCGAGAATTGTGGGTCGATCACAAGGGACAGCACATAACCTGAATATTTGAGAATGCTAAAATGGCGCCTTAACCTCCTAAGGACTAATCAAGAACAACTCTCTCTCTCTCTTACCTTGGTCACTAGACACTGGAATCTCTTCACTCTCCATCTGCTTCTCCGATTCACCAGCTGCGTGAAAACGAAGTTGTTCATTAGAATAAAATATTGATGCCTTTAAGGTTACGAATTAGATCTCATTGAAAATTACAGTCACTGTCACTGCGTAGGCTAACACAAATGCCTTCATATAATTACAGGAGCCTTAACATAAATCCGGCCCACTGTCTGCTATCAAGCCAGAAATTTCACCCAGCTAGTTGTTAAGTTAACAAACAGCTTGCCCTGTACGCGGGAATAAAAACAACATATGTTGGACAGTGTAAAGTTCCTGAAAACCAATTCATTCTTTTATACCTTTAGTTGGCTCCTTGGGCTTAGACTTACTTTCCTCCTCTTGACCTGCACAAATAGATTTACAATAGATTGCATTAATGCATTTATCTAAATTTGATTGAAAGCTTTAGAACCTTCCATCAGTGTGTAAACTTTTACTGTCACATGTGTTCAAATACTACCTTCTTTTCTTCTTTAACTTCTTAAGAAAATTATTACTCGGGCTTCCGCAGGAAAGCCCGAGTCTGAAAATGCAAGCCGTTTTGCTGGGCACTGGGATCTCTTCACTTGCTATTTGCTCCTCAGATTCAGCAGCTGTGTGAAAGCAAAGTTATTAATTACAATGCAGTATTTGCATAATTACAGACATTGTTCCTCCGTAGGCTGACAAATAAATGTAAATGAATAAAGTGGTCTGCAGGGTAAACCCGGCCCATGGCCTGCTAATAAGCCAGCAAAATGACCCAGTTACATGTCAAATTCATAACACATGTTAAACAACGTAACCAGACGTGTCGTTTCTAAAAATCAACTCATTGTCTTTACCTTCCTCAGTTGGCTTTTTGCGTTCAGGCTTACTTTCTCCTTCTTGACCTGCAGAAGTGCGATTGAAAAAGAAATTGTACTTATTGAATTATGTCCATTTGAATACTTGTAATATTGCAAAGTGAGCGAGAATTGTGGGTCGATCACAAGGGACAGCACATAACCTGAATATTTGAGAATGTTAAAATAGCGCCTTAACCTCCGAAGGACTAATCAAGAGCCACTCTCTCTCTCTCTTACCTTGGTCACTAGACACTGGAATCTCTTCACTCTCCATCTGCTTCCCCGATTCACCAGCTGCGTGAAACGAAGTTGTTCATCAGAATAAAATATTGATGCCTTTAAGGTTACGAATGAGATCTCATTGAGAATTACAGTCACTGTCACTGCGTAGGCTAACACAAATGCCTTCACATAGATACAGGAGCCTTGATATACATCCGGCCCACTGTCTGCTCTCAAGCCACAAATTTCACCCAGCTAGTTGTTAAGTTAACAAACAGCCTGCCCTGTACGTGGGAATAAATGCAACATATGTTGGACAGTGTAACTTTCCTGAAAAGCAATTCATTCTTTATACCTTTAGTTGGCTCCTTGGGCTTAGACTTACTTTCCTCTTCTTGACCTGCACAAATAGATATACAATAGATTGCATTAATCCAGTTATCTAAATTTGATTAAAATCTTCAGAACCTTCCATCAGTGTGTAAACTTTTACTGTCACATGTGTTCAAATACTACCTTCTTTTCTTCTTTAACTTCGTAAGAAAATTATTACTCGGGCTTCCGCAGGAAAGCCCAAGTCTGAAAGTTCAAGCCGCTTTGGTCACCAAAAGGGGCCTCATGGTCCCAGGCGGCCTTTGCGTAAACCGCGGAAACTGGAGATGAGAGTGCGAACCATTTGTGTTATCGTGAGACTGCTCCTCGTAAACAACGTAATTTACAGAATGCTGTGTTTTGTGAAGACCGATTTGCAACTATTCCTGTCTTCTAAGCTCATCCCACATGCAAACGCACACGCCGGTCGTGGAAGGCCCACGCTAAGAAATGATCTCCTGTGTTTTCGGAATGGGCCGGTCCACGAACTTCATTGCTTGAAAGCTAGCCAAATGTGGAAAGTTCACACTAGTTCTCACGAGATAACAAATGAGCCATATGTGCGTTCAAACTACGAAAATACTGGCAATACTGTGACGGCCGATTTAACAACAAACTATAATGCTAAGACGAACACCTCACTTGCTGAAAAAGTCAAGACTGTTCGTGAACACAACTTCGAAGGTGGCGCTAACAACAGCGAATTGGATAATGATACTGTCAGAAGCAACTTAAATAGTAAGATTAAATATATAACCTTAGCCCTTCCGTTAAATACCTTGTTTCTATCACTGGTTTTTATTGGGTTCAATACTTGTAATGTACGATTTGGTATTTCGTACATAATCACTATTAACAATTGGTTCATGCGTTAGCGTGCGTTCATCAAGACTTAATGCACGGGGGAAGTTTGGAGAGCACGAAAGATGCCTAAGAGTTGCAAGAGTCGCAGCCGAGAGCAACTCTCGCTTCTTGAATGCTCTCCAAACTTCCCAAGTGCCTCACGTCTCGATGAACGCACAGCTGACACATAGACCAATTGTTTTGTAACATATTCAACGCTGTAGTTTATGTATAAAGGGCAGAAATTCCCTCTATTACTTTCGGAAGAGTATTACGCTATGCTTCAATGATCTAGTCTTAGATTGGTCAAGAACTGACAGGTGAATTCATGCGTAGAAATGCAGTTAGAATTGCGAAACGAGATGAAACCGTTAATTGTTTTGTTTACCCTATCTCTGGGTTCTTTCTCGGGAATTAAAAATTCCATTCCCCAAAAAAAAGTAGGCAGATCTACATCGGCTTGTTCGCTTGTTGCCATGGCTAGTTTAACTTTTTTGCGGAATTTTTCACTGTTTTTTTAATGAAAAATGCTGAAGTCACTCGCGAGGCATTTGTTTGCAGACTTCACCAGCATGCACAATGGGAAACGGAAGACGCTTGTGCAATTAAATTTGATTGCTTAACAATTGGTTCGTGCCTTAACGTGCTCTATCGAGTTATGAAGCAAGTGGGAAGTATAGCTTCTTGAGTGCTCTCTAAACTTTCCTCGTGCCGGTGGAATTGTGCATAAAATCCGACGCGAAAAACGGACAACAATATCAGAAGTGATTGCTCGCGGTAAGCGAAATATCAAGCAAAATAGGAATTGGTTTTATTTCAAAATTTCTGCTGAAAGCTCGAGTTTTATTTTACTGCAGTTTAAATACAAAATTCAAAGGGTCAGAAAATTTTCTTCGTTTTGGGACTGGTGGGCCGAGTCTGTTTGCATCCACTATTGTCGCGAAAACTATTATTTTTCCCCGCGCTAACAATGGCTGCTCGAGCGAGAAAAAGATTTCTGGCGAAGCGATTTGCTCACGCTATGAGCGTGCACTATCGGGATTTTGAGCACGCGTTCGTATAATGAATTTGATTGTGCGGCTCTGCTAGCTATGTTATAAACGAATTTACAAGCTATGTTATACTTGTACTCGTGTTTGGTGTGAATGCCATGGCTATAAAAAAAAGCCCCAGTGAACGCTTCTCGAGCGTCTAGTTTATTCGATAAAAATGACATTAATACGTACTCAGTCGTTGATTTTGTTTTACTCAAGCTTTTAAAAAGTCGTTAATCTTGAACCATCTCTCAGGTATTATGCCCAGTGATTACCAAGGTAAAAAAACAAACTCTTCGATAACTGATACAGTGCCTTAAGTGATTTACAAAAAAAACTATTTTCTCCTTTACCTTTGTCACTAGGCACTGGAATCTCTCCTCTCTCCACCTGCTCCTCACCTTTACCAGCTGTGTGAAAGCAAAGCTGTTAATAAAGTTATATAGGATTTCATTGAGAGCTGCTGTCACTGTCACTGCGTAGGCTACCACATATGTCGTCAACTAGTTACCAGGGTCTTAATAAATAACCCGGCTCCGA